AAAAATCAATGAGGATGGAAGACTTCCAAGCTCTTTTTATGACTCCAGCATAATCCTAATTCCAAAACCGGATAAAGACACTATAAATGAAGAAAATTACAGGTCAATAACCCCGATGACCACAGACACCTAAATCCTCAAAAATATATCAGCAAATCGGAACCAACAATATATAAAAAAAATTATTCACCATGACCAAGTGGGATTCATCCCAGGGATGTAAGGCTGGTACAATATTCGCAAATCAATAAATATGATACATCACATAAACAAAATGACAGCTAAAAATAGTATGGCCAAATCAAGAGATGCTGAAAAGCATTAGACAAAATCCAGCACCCATTTCTGATAAAAATGCTCAGCAATGTGGGAATAGAGAGATCATATCTCAACATAATAAAAGCCATATATGAAAAACTTACAGCCAACATCATACTCAATGGGCAAAAACTAAAAGCATTTCCATTAAGAACAGGAACTAGACAAGGATGCTCACATTCACCACTCTTATTTAACATAGTACTGGAAGTCTTAGCCACAGCAATTAGACATGAAGACAGAATAAAAGGTATTCATATTGGAAAGGAGGAAGTGAAACTGTCATTATTCGCAGATGGCATGATATTGTACATAAAAAACCCTAAAGACTCCATCAAAAATCCATTAGATTTAATAAATGAGTCTGCCAAAGTAGCAGGATTCAAAATTAACATACAGAAATCGATGGCATTTTTATACACCAATAATGAACACTCAGAAAGGGAAACTAAGAAAACACTCCACGGTTGTTGTTGTTTTTTTTAATTTTATCCTCACCTGAGGATATTCTTTCTTGATTATTTTGTTCAGATAGAGTGGGAGGGAGAGAGAGAGAGAAACATTGACGTAAAAGGGACACATCGAGCGGCTGCCACTCACATGACCCAACCAGGGCCGGGGACAAACTGCATCGGAGGTATGTGCCCCTAGCGGGAACCGAACATGGGTCTCCCTGCACCACAGGCCAACATTCTAACTGCCGAGCCAAACCGGCCGTGGCTCCTAAGCTTTTTTATCCACTCATCTACTGATGGACACTTGGGTTGTTTCCAGATCTTAGCTATCGTAAATAGTGCTGCTATGAACACAGGGGTACATATATTCTTTCTGATTGGTGTTTCAGGTTTCTTAAGGTATATTCCTAGAAGTGGATCACTGGGTCAAATGACAGTTCAATTTTTAACTTTTTGAGGTAACACCATAGTGTTTTCCATAGTGGCTGTACCAGTCTGCATTCCCACTAGCAGTGTACTAGAGTCCCCTTTTCTCCACACCCTCACCAACACTTGTTGTTTGATGATTTGTTGATGGCAGCCATTCTGACAGGTGTGAGGTGATACCTCATAGCTGCTTTTAGCTGTGGTACATGTACACAATGGAACACTATGCAGCTATAAGAAAGAAAGATCTCTTATCCTTTGAGATGGCATGGAAGGACCTGGAGAGTATTATGCTAAGCGAAACAAGCCAAGCAGAGAAAGACAAATATCACATGATCTACTTATTTGTGGAATATAATGAACTAAACAAACTGATGAACAAAATTAACCCACAGACATAGAGGTAGGGTACAGACTGACAAGCCTCAGAGGAGAGGGGGTTTGGGGGGAAAGAAATAAACCACAGAACTTACATGCATGTATACATGACCAATGAACATAGACAACAAAGCTGGGGATGGGGTAGGGGGAAGGGGAGGAAGGTGTCAATGGGGGAAAAATGAGAAACATCTGTAATAAGAACAAATTAATAAATAAAAAAATAAATAATAAATAAACTGTTTTTCATCAGGGAAAAAAAAAAACACTCCAATTTACTATTGCAAAAAAATAATAATAAGATTACCTAGGAATAAACTTAACCCAGGAGGTAAAAGACCTGTTCTCAGAAAACTATAGGACATTAAAAAAAGAAATACAGCAAGATATAAAAAAAGTGGAAACATATACCTTGTTCCTGGATTGGAAGAATCGACATTATTAAAATGTCCATACTATCAAAAGCAAGCCACAGATTCAGTGCAATCCCTATTAAAAGTACCAAGAGCATATTTCACAGATCGAGAACAAATACTCCAAAAGTTTATATAGAACCAAAAATGACCCCAAATAGCCACAGCAATCTTGAAAATGAACAAAGTGGGAGGGATCACAATACCAGATACCAAGTTATACCAGAAAGCAATCATAATCAAAACAGCCTGGTACTGGCACAAGAACAGACATACAGATCAGTGAAACAGAACAGAGAAACCAGAAATCGACCCAAGACAGTATGCAAAATTAATATTTGACAAAGGAAGCAAGAGCATACAATGGAGTATAGACCATCTCTTTAATAAATGGTGTTGGGAAAACTGGACAGATACATGTGAAAAAATGTAACTAGACCACCAACTTACATACACAATAATAAACTTGCCCAGATGTTGTGGCTCAGTGGTTGAGCACAGACCCATGCCCCAAGAGATTATGGTTCAATTCCCAGTCAAGGCACATTCCCAGGTAGTGGGCCAAATGCCCAGTTTGGGGGCATGCAGGACGCGGCCAATCGATGTTTTCTCTCATCGATGTTTCTATCTCTCTCTCCCTCTCCCTTCCTTTCTCTCTAAAATCAGTAAAGAAAAAACATTTTTTTTTAAAAATAAATTCAAAATGGATAAAAGACTTAAATGTAACTCATGAAATCATAAAAATCCTAGAAGAAAACATAAGCAGAAAAATCTCAGGCATCATATATAGTAGAATTTTCACTGATACATCGCCTGGGGCAAGAAAAATAAAAGAAAAAAATTAATAATGGAACTACATCAAACTAAAAAGCTTCTGCACAGTAAAAGAAACCAGCATCAAAATGAAAAGAAAATCCATTGTATGGGAGAACATATTTGCCAACGATACATCAGATAAGGAGTTAATATCCAAAATATATAAAGTACTCATACAACTCAACAAAAAAAAGACAATCCAATTAAAAAATGGACAAAGGACCTGAACAGACACCTCTCCAAACAGGACATACAAATGGCCAGGAGACATATGAAAAAATGCTCAACATCACTAATCATCAGAGAGATGCAAATTAAAATGACTATAAGATTTCACCTCACACCTGCCAGAATGGCTGCCATCAACAAATCCTCAAACAAGTGCTGGCGAGGATGTGGAGAAAAGGGGACACTAGTACACTGCTGGTGGGAATGCAGACTGGTGCAACCACTGTAGAAAACAATATGGTGCTTTCTCAAAAAATTAAAAATTGAATTGCCATTTGACCCAGTGATCCCACTTCTAGGAATATACCCTAAGGAGCCTGAAACACCAATCAGAAAGAATATATGCACCCTATGTTCATAGGCAGCACTATCTACAATAGCTAAGATCTGGAAACAACCCAAGTGTCCATCAGTAGATAAATGGATAAAAAAGCTGTGGTACATATACACAATGGAATACTATGCAGCTGTAAGAAAGAAAGATCTCTTACCCTTTTAGATACATGGAAGGACCTGGAGAGTATTATGCTCAGCGAAATCAGTCAGTCAGAGAAAGACAAGTATCACCTGATGTCACTTATTTATGGAATATCATGAGCAAAATAAGCTGTCAAGCAAAACAGATCCAGAGTCATGGAAGTAGAGAAAAGACTGACAACCCACAGATAGATGGAGGTGGGGGAGAGAAGAGATAAATCAAAGAACTTATAGGCATATATGCACAACCAATGGACACAGACATTAGTTTGGGGAAAGCAGAAGGGGGGGCAAGAGGAGGGGATCATTGAGAAGGAAAGGGGGGACATCTGTACTTTCAATAATAAAAAATAATAAACAAACAAATAAGCAAACCACCCAGGCTATGGTATTTTGTTATGCCAGCCTGGCTAACTAATACAGAAATGCAAGTCAAAACCTCAATGATATAGCACTTCACATTCACGAAGATGGCTACAATAAAAAATTCACCTAATAAGTGCTGGTGAACATGTGGAGGAATCAGCATCCTCAAGTCATCAGGAATGGAAAATGGTACAGCCACTTTGGAAAACAGTCTGGCAATTCCACGGAGTTACCATATAACCCAGCAATTCCACTCCTATCTATAAACTCAAGAGAAATAAAAGCATATGTCCAAGCAAACCTTGTGAATGAATGATTATACCAGCATTACTCAAGAGTCAAAAGGTAGAATGCTAAATGTCCACTGGCTGATGAATGAACAAACAAGTGTGGTATATCCACACAATGAAGTATTATTTTTTCCATTAAAAGGATGAAATATTAATATATGCTACAATATGAACCTCGCAATGCAAAGTGAAAGAAACCAATCACAAAAGAACACATAATGTGTGACTACATTTACATGATATGTCCAGAATAGCCAAATTCGTAGAGCTAGAAAGTAGACTAGTGTTGCTAAGACTGGATGGGCCAGAGGATAGGGAGGTTTAGCTAAATGGTATGGGGTTTCTCTGCGAGGTGAAGAAACCTGACTGTGGTGTTCACATATATCTATGAAAATAATAAAAGCCACTGAATTATATACTTTAAATGAGTGACTTGTATGATATGCAAATTATCTCTCAATAAACATGTTTAAAAGGAAAAACAACTTTCAAAAGTGTTTCTTTTTGCCTGGCTGGTTTGGCTCAGCGGTTAGAGCATCGTCCTATGTGGATCAATGAGTCTCGGATTCAATTTTGCTCAAGGGCACGTACCTCGGTTGCAGTTCATCCCTGGTCCTGGTCAGGGTTGTGCAGGAGGCAACCAGTCAACGTGTCTCTCTCATGTTGATGCACCTCTTTCTCTCTCTCTCTCCACTCCACTCTCTCTCCCACCCTCCCTCCCACTCTATCTGGAGATAAACAGAAAAATATCCTTGGGTGAGGATTTTTTTTAAAAGTGTTTCCTTCTAAGGTCTAACTACTCCAGGAGTTTCCTTCTGCCTGCGCTAACTCACCTGGATACCTCTGCTTTAAAAATTCTTCCTTTAAGGACCAGGGCTCTTCGCCTCGCTCCAACTTGAAGATCACCTGGGGTTTGGTAATGCAATACCCTGTGAACATAACAATTGAGGATATAGGAGAGCAAATCCATGGGCTTTTTAGTTTCTGCAGGTGGAGAAAGACACAGCAGCGAGAGCAAAATAAAAGTACACATTTGCAGTTTTTAATGGGAAAGTAATGACACAAACATTGTTTCTATTTCTCTAAAGGTTTTAGTTACTTAGGCCTCTTAATCAAAGGCCCAAACATTAATATCTATAAAGTGTCCATGTGTTTTGATAATTTAAAAAGAAAATGTATTCTAGAGGGAGTCACAAGGTAAGGTGTGCTCACCCACAGAGATGAGGTGACTGTAGGTCTCCAGCATCACATCTCTGTACAGGGTTCTCTGAGCAGCACCTACGTACTGCCACTCATCCCTGGTGAACTCCACGGTCACATCTTCAAATGACACCGATCCCTGTAATAACATATTTTGTTCAAAAGTTCAGAATTATTTGACAAAGAAAATACCTTTGGCAACTACTATTTTTCTATTTACTCTTAAGGCTCTAAAACAGATATAAAGGATGTCTAATCTTAACCTAATTTGTCTTTAACTGTGAAGTTACTCAATTAGTTCAAAAGGTTTTTAATGTACCACAATTCATTGACATTTATGAATTATAAATTTTAAGACATAAAAATATCCAGTGTAAAGAGACTTCCTACAACTCTTCTTCTACATCCCAAGGGATTATCCTGGGTATTCTAAAGAACTCTAGGATGTTCAGTCCCTCCTTGGACATCATTACTATAAATACTGGGGGGCCAAGGAAGAAATACATGTAAGCTGTGGAGACAGCATACATGATTGAGTTTATGTATAAATAAATGTATAAAGATATATAAATCTGCCCGGCTGATGTGGCTCACTGGTTGAGCGTAGACCCATGCACCAAGAGGTCACCAGTTCATTCCTAGTCAAGGTACATGCCCAGGTTGTGGGCCCGATCCCCAGTGGGGGGCATGATGTTCTCTCTCATCGATGTTTCTATCTCTCTCTTCCTCTCCCTTCCTCTCTCTCTAAAAATCAATAAAGAAAAAAATTTGTTTTAAATAAAGATATATAAATCTAGAGCCCATAAAGAGAAAAGAACAACTTACCAAGGAGTTGGAATCAGAGAGATCAGTATAAGAGAACAATCTCTACACTGAAATAACAACAGCAGCACTAAGGATAGGGATATAATCACAGAGCGGAAACAGCAACCAATCTGATAACTACTTTCTTATGTAGCTACCCAGTCTACCAATAAGAGCTGCTTCTTGAATGCTGGTGCCAATACTGACTGGGAACACCAAAGGAAAAAATGTGACAAGTTCTAATGTGACAGATCTGTTCATGTTACTACTGAAGGGTCTATGGAATGTAAAGCTGAAACTGTTCCTTAAACTGGTACACACATGGTTTTAGAACACAGAAAGGACATCTAGGATGAAGACAAGCATTCAAGTTACTAGCAATTTAGGAAGCAACTAGAGTTATCAGAGGCAGTCAGAGAGCAACTTGAGCACATAGGAACTGAGCAAGGAAAAGGACCAAAAACAGCATCTGAGGAACTGTGAATACTGAAGAGGCTGGCAGAAAAAGTATATGCCACAAAGCCGGAGACTTTTTAAAAAGTAATCACAGAACCATGAGAGAGCAGAGTTTTGGAAAACAGAAAAAAAGGGAAAGTTTCCACATCAGGACTGCAAGGGGCTGGGAGGGAGAAGTGGAGGGCTGCGATCCACGGAGCATAATGCTTCACTTGTGGAAAACATTAAGTTCTAGAGTCTGGTGTACAACACTATGCCTCTACTTAACACGCTAAACTGTACACATACAAATTTGTTCAGAGAGTAGATCTTATCACAATTAAAAAATAGTAAGGAAAGGAAGTAGATTAAGAGAGAAGAGGACAGAAATGAGTTTTTCCCTCATCGTTATGTATCCAATTATATATTCTTTCATGTCTCCATTACTGAGTGAATACCTCCTCTGTGTGAAGCTCAGTACTAGGAGCTGGGAACCAAAACAAATGAATAAAAGAACAGGAACACCTCTCATTAAATTTATTTTAATCTAAAAAGAAAATGTAACTATTTTTCCAAAACTAAAAAAATTAGTGAGAAAAGTGGCTTTTTTTTTTCAATTTTTGCCAATCTCTAATATCTGGCTTAATAAAAATCAGCTGGACTCTTTTTTTTTTTTTTTTTAAGCTGGACTCTTTTAAAATTAAGCTACCAAGTGATGTAGGTGAAAAGGGTGAAGTAGGGATCCCAGAAAATTCTGTCTGCTATTCATCTGTATTTCTATATCTTGTCTTAATGCATCTAATCCATTCATATTTCTGTTTCTCCATGTTAACAGAGAGACATGTAAGCCCTTATAAAATCCACTGTAAAATAAATAGGTTACTAAAAACTAAACTCACCTGAGCTCTGTTCATTTTCTGTTGCTCCTGCAAGAAGGTAAGAAACTGTGAAGGTTCAGCTGGGAAGGAGGAAAGAGAAATGGGATCATGAGAAACCTGGTCTGCCTTACACTCCTATATTCATCTGCCTAAAAATCTCATATAACACCTGGTGGAGAAAAGACTTCTCTGTGAGAATGTCCCTTTGATATTCTTGAGAAGGAATAGGAAGAACCACACACAGGCAGCACCACCAGAATATATGCATGTCTGAGATGATCATGTGGGCTCACCCTTGCATTTTCACTAAGGTAAACTGCTTTTGGTCAATGAATTAACAATTTATGCCCACTTCTGACTAATTAAAATTTTAAAAATTTAAATAAGTAAATAAAACAGAGGATTAGTTAAAATAAATTTAGGTACACCAAAGGTGAAACCCTGTGCCTTCATTAAACTAATGTCAGCCTGGCCAGTGTGGCTCAGTGGTTGAGAATCGACCCATGCACCAAGAGGTCGCTGGTTCGATTCCCAGTCAGGGCACATGCCCAGGTTGTGGGCCAAATCCCCAGTGGGGGGCATGCAGGAGGCAACCAATCGATGATCTCTCTCATCAATATTTCTCTCTCTCTCTTCCTCTCCTTTCCCCTCTCTCTAAAATCGATAAAGAAAAAAAAGAGAGAAAAACAAAAACAAAACACTAATGTCAAAAACTACTCAGGCTGGGTTATTAACCAAGTTCTTATTGTCTTTACATCTTGAGTTAGAATTTTCCCAGGACACTCTGAAATAAGGATGGGATGTTTTATGTAAAAAATATATTTTTCAACCACTTATTCTAAATTGGCTGCAGTTTCTAAAAAAGATCCCTTGATAACATATTTATAGTACCTACCTGTGTGAGTCAACTGGACTGTACTGCTGCTGTGTGGTTCTGCCCTGGGTGACTACAAAAAGCACTCATTTTGGAACCAGTATTTTGGGACTTCCAAAAGTGTCCAATATAGGAAACCTTTCTACTATCATGTTGTTATCTCTACGTTCAGGAAAGAAGGAGCATCAATATAAATCTAGATGCCACATGTGGTGATGCACGCAGCAGAGAGTTCAGAATCTGGAGAGAGGGAAGCATAAAGAAAACCTGGTGTTTAGGATTTCTTCACTCTGGCTGTTCACACCTTCCCTGGCTGTTCTCACCAGCCACCCACTGCAGTGCCTTTTCCTGTGCAGCCTGACAGTCACCCATCCCTCTCAAGGCCAGGTTCCCACCTTCTGCAAGTTGGTCCCCAGTTTTCAGATTCCCACAGTTTGTGATGGCTTTTGGATGTGGAACATCACCAAGTCTAACTCATGCTATAAATGTATCAAAAACTGCTTCTAGTGGAGCAAATCAGGATCTGCTTCTTCCTAGAAACTTTCGCCTCTGCTCTGAAGCTCTGGCGAGGGATCTGTCAGAAAGGCTGTACTTCCAAGTGGCAGCTTTCCGGGGGCTCCCTCTTTCCTGACTTCAAATTGTTACTTTGCTCCAGAGGGACTGGGACCTGAGCCTGAGAAACAAATTCACTTTATTTGAAACCTTCATCTAACATTCTAAGTCTGTCCCTTTTGGAATTCACTGAAAATGCACTATCCAGTATTGTAACCATTAGCCGCATGCAACTACTACCTGAAGCGTGGCTACTGCCACAAGTCAAAATCATAGTTCGATTGTATTGAATTAAGTCAGTAAAATTAACTTTACCTCCTTTTCTTTTTACTGTTAGTACTGAAAACTTTAAAATTATATTTTTATATTATATGTGCATCTATATTTTAATAGCATTATATCTTGCTATTGGCCAGCACTGCGTTAGATGACCAGACTGGGCCTCTGAGGATGCAGACAGCCTGGACAGGGCAGGAAGGTGCAAGAGACTAAGTCTGACCCAGGGGCTCTGAGAACACCCACCAATCCCAGGTGAGATTCTGTACATTCACTTCACAATCATATCTCTGGGACTTGGGGGACAGGCTACTCTGCTAAGTGCTCCAAAGGTTGCAACTCTGGGTTTGAGGCAGGGAGGATTCTGGGGAACCCCAAGAGATGGGGAGTAAAATCTGTATTTGCATCCTACCTCTTTCAACGACCACCTTGTGCCCTGGGGTACATCATTCCACCCGGATGAAAGTCCTTTCACTTTTTAAAATGGTATATTCCTACCCACAAGTAGGCTTGTTGTCAGCGTTAAATGAAATAAACGAAGGGAACAGTCTCTTCTGATAGCAGCTTACGCAGTGATAACATAGCGGCTGACAAAATATTTCACAGATGACACCTTATTTAATTCACAGAATAGCCTCACGTCCTGAACGTCACGAAGGTGCATTCCCCTCCCGCCGCCTGCTGTCCCCACAGTGCGCAGCACGGAGCACCCTCTAGAGGACTCAGCCTCACCTGCGCCGCGGGAGCCGGCGCGGGGTACCCCGCACGTACACGGGCCTGGGGATGGGGGGCCCTGCAGGACCCCGGGACTTCCCGCCCCGGTGCCCCAGACTAGAGCCTACCTGACCCGCGCAGGGGTGCGGTGTTCTCACCCGGGTGCGCAGCCTCCGCTCCCGCACAGACCCAGCGCGTCGCACTCAGTCCCGAACGGGCACACGGGAGGAGGCGGGGCTGCTGTGCATATGCGCAGAGTGAACGCCGACGACCCGTTCCCAGAGGGCTGCGCGGTAGGCCCACACGTTCAAGACTACATTTCCCATGATGACCTGAAACTGGAGGAAGTAGTTTTGAAAGTGTTTCCGCTTCATTAACCAATTGGACCTGACCCCTGTAAACTTTTCCCGAATCCGCAGAGAATTGAGGTTAGAGTTTAGGACCTAACAACGCGTTGCAAGCAAAGCGTGGTACTTGGTGGGATACGGTTGGGAAAGACAACAGCTGCGAGAGACAACGATTGAGGAAACACAAATATGAACTAGATATTAGAAGTATTAAGGAAAATGATCATTACCTTGCTCAATGATACTGCAGGGGTGGACAAAAGTCGGTTATTAATAGTAAACAATACAATAACTAATAAATAATAATACAAAAGTAAACTGTGTACTCACAATTGTAAACCTATTTTTGCTTATCTCTGTATTTGGACAATGTAGGAAAATTATTTTTTAAAGATACCTACTGATATATTTACAATTATAAAATCATTTATCATTTACCTTTTTAAAATTTATTTATTAATTTGTTTTTGTTACAGATATTTCTCATTTTTCCCCCACTGACACCCTCCTCCCCTCCCCCCATCCCCAGCTTTGTTGTCTATGTTCATTGGTCATGCATACATGCATGTAAGTTCCGTGGTTTATCTCTTCCCCCACAAGCGCCCCTCCTCTGAGGCTTGTCAGCCTGTATCCCACCTCCATGTTTCTGGGTTAATTTTGTTCAGCAGTTTGTTTAGTTCATTATATTCCACAAATAAGTAGATCATGTGATATTTTTCTTTCTCTGCTTGGCTTGTTTCACTTAGGATAATACTCTCCAGGTCCTATCATGCCATCTCAAAGGATAAGAGATCTTTCTTTCTTACAGCTGCATAGTATTTCATCGTGTACATGTACCACAACTTTTTAATCCACTCATCTACTGATGGACACTTGGGTTGTTTCCAGATCTTAGCTATTGTAAATAGTGCTGCTATGAACATAGGGGTACATATATTTTTTTCTGATCGGTGTTCAGGTTTCTTAGGGTATATTCCTAGAAATGGGATCACTGGGTCAAATGGCAGTTCAATTTTTAACTTTTTGATTTAACACCATAGCATTTTCCACAGTGGCTGCACCAGTCTGCATTCCCACCAGCAGTATACTAGAGTCCCCTTTTCTCCACACCCTCACCAACACTTGTTTGATGATTTGTTGATGGCGGCCATTCTGACAGGTGTGAGGTGATACCTCATAGTTGTTTTAATTTGCATCTCTCTGATGATTAGTGATGTTGAGCATTTCTTATGTCTCTTGGCCATTTATATGTCCTGTTTGGAGAGTTGTCTAGTTCCTCTGCCCATTTTTTAATTGGGTTCTTTGTCTTCCTTTTGTTGAATTGTATGTATATTTTGGAAATTAACCCCTTATCTGATGCATCATTGGCGATTATGGTCTCCCATATAGTGGGATCCTTTTCCATTTTGATGGTTGTTCTTTTTCCTGGCAGAAGCTTTTTAGTTTGATGTAGTCCCATGTGTTCATTTTTCCCTTGTTTCTGTTGCCTTAGGTGATGTATCAGTGAAAATTCTGCTGTGTATGATGTCTGAGATTTTGTTCCCTACATTTTCTTCTAGAATTTTTATGGATTCATATAATTTACTTTTTTAAAAATAAGCAAAACCATTAGAGAAAGCAAATATAACAAAAGGTTAAGAATCATTGAATCTATGCAGTTTGTGTATGTGATACTTATTTTACTGTTTCTGCTATTCGGATGGTTTGAATTTCTTTTTAATAGACATGGGGTGGGGTGGGATGGAGAGAGAGTAGAGAGTTTACTGCCCCTCCAGAAGTGTGCCTTTTAAAAACAAGCTGCCAAGAGAAGTAAAGATACATACAAGAATCTTTTTCACAGCTGTGAAATAGAACAAATCTAGGAAATAGAGCTAGCTTTAACTGAAAAGTAATATCTGTGACCAGCAGTGTCTGGGTGGGAGAGGAGGCAATAATCTAGCTGTTCAAATTACATAACTAATACATGGAAATCATACAACCACCAATAAGAAAGGTACTATTGTATCAATTTTGCATTTCCATAAGTAAACCTTCCTTGAAACTTAATGTGTGCACACATCAAATTAAAGACATATGGATACAATAACTTAATTTTCTTTCTAGACTTTTTTAGAGCAGTCTTAGGTTTACAGAATAATTCAGCAGAAAGCACAGAATGTCCATATACCCGCTCTCATCACCCTCAGAACAGTTTCTCCTATTTCTAACATCTTACATTAGTGTAGTATATTTTGTACAATTAAAGGATTATTCCTAACTAAATCCCACAGTTTACATTAGCAGCCACTCTGTGTAGTGCAGTTTTATGAGTTTTACCAAATGCATAATGTCATCTGGTGTAATATCCAGCATTACATTACCACACAGAATAATTTCACTGCCCTAAAAAGTTCCTGTGCTCTGTTTATTCAACCTCTCCCCTCTTGCTTTCCCATCCTGAACTCTCAGTAGCCACTCATCATTTTACTGTCTCAATCTTTTACCTTTTCCAGAATGTTATAGAGTTAGAATCACATAGTAAGTGACCATCTTAGATTGGCTTCTTTCACCTGGATGTGCATTTAGTTTTTCTTCATGTCTTTTCTTGTCTTGACAGCTCATTTTTCTTTTATCAATGAATAATATTCCATTGTATGGATGTACAGAGTTTGTTTATTCACTCATCTATTGAAGGACATCTTATTTGCTTGCAAGTGTTTATAATAGTGAACAAAACTGCTTTATATAAACATGTTTGTGTGGGCTTTTCTGTGAATACAAGTTTTCAAATCAATTGCGTAAATACCAAGAAATGCAATTGCCAGACTGCATAGTGGAGATTAGGTTTCACTTTATCAGAAACTGCCACACTGTCTTCCAAAAGTGGATGTATCATTTTTACATTATCACCAACAATAAAAGAGGGTTCTCCTGTTCCATATCCTCACCAGCATTAAGTATTTCCAGTGTTTTGGATTTGGGCCATTCTAATAGGTGTGAACTGGTATCTCTTAATCTGCTCCTGTAATAATATCATGCTAGGCTTCTTTTCATATGCTTATTTGCCATAAGTAAATCTTCTTTTGTGAGTTGTCTTTCTGTTCAACTCTTTCAGCTATTTTTCACTGGGTTCTTCAATTTCTTATAGCTGAGTTGTAAGAGTTCTTTGTATTTTTTGGATAAAATTCCTTTACCAGATGTCTTCTGCAAATATTTTCTAAGTCTCTGATTTATCTTTTTATTATATTGATATTCTTACACAAAGCAAAAGTTTTCCATTTTAATGAAGTCAAACTGATCAATTTCTACGTTTATGGATTACACTTATGATGTTATCTAAAAACTCAGTGCCAAATTCAAGGTCACCTAGGTTTTCTCCTAGTTTTGGAATTTGACATTTTATTTGTAAATTTATTATTATTCCTTTTGAGTTAATATTTGTGAGAAATGTAAGGTCTGTATCTGTTTGTTTTTTGCTTTAGTATTTTCAACTCAAGAAAATGCCATAAACTATGATCAACTATTCCCATTTCTTAGCAGAATATAAATACTACATCTGTTTTGCAATTATTTCATAATTTTCCCTTCCCATGTATTTCTATTACTATTGGAAGTATAAAAAAATGTCCAAATAGCCACACACTCTTCATTTAATATGTCTATTACAATATTTTTGTTCATCTGCTTCTTCATAAATTTGGTAACTTATAATTGAACAGAGATGTAATGTTATTGCATATTAATTGTATTTTCTTGAGATAATATATTCAAAGAGCTTAGCATAATCTTTGTTACTAAATATTATGAATATATATAACCATGTATAAAAATTATTTCCCTTTGTATTTCAACTTACTACTACATAGGATGATCAAATAATTTCCTCAAAGAGAAAAGAATTATAGTTCTGGCCTGTCTCTGTGAATGTAGTCAAGTTATTTAAATTTTCTGAGACTGATTTTGCTTATTCGGTCAGTGAAGAATCTGGTCTAGGTGATATTTAAAGGCTAATGGTTTATTATTCCAGCCAGTTTAATCTTGGCTCTTATATTTTAAAACCAATATTCAGGATCAGCTACTGTCCTAACATTTTACTGAAATTCTGTTTTTATTTTCAGCAGGACTATTCACCATGATAAGTAGCAAATAGATGCCATCTGGGAAACACCTTAAGACTGGCTATGTAGCTTACAAAAGAGCAGTGCAATAAACCTGCTTGAAGCATTTGTACTTTTTCCTTTTTGGAGAAATCAATAAGGATTTTACATTACTATTCATCACCTACCTCAAATCATACTAGCTCTTGGACTTATTTTATCCTAAAATCTATAGAAGCCTAACCCAGAATGATGGCCATAAGTCAGGGAAGGAGAAACTTTTTCCCGATAGAGGCAATAGTGTTTGACAATGACTGAAGAGTACGTCACATATGTGTTTCCTAAGAGAATCTAACTTTCAAAATTATGTTATTTTCCTGTAAGTACTATTTATTAATGGAAATAACCACAAAACATAAATACACTGGTGCCATACATATGTGAACATCTTGTGTTTCCACAGGGAAGTGGAGAATAATTTGGTCATGAACTGTATCTGAGCAATGAGAGGATATGAGACAACCCACCCATCCTAAAAGTCATGTGCTTACAGGAGGTTTTATCCTCTTTACCTGGAGTCTTCTTGCTTTTCTTCACACATATTTCTAACCAGGTTTATTATTTGTCTAAAAGAATGAATGTAAAACTCATACTACTGTGACCACATAATAATGTGTAATTTTTCAGTCAGTATCAATCTACCTTATTAAATTGTAAGGTTTGTCTGGGAAAGTAAAGTGTCTGTTTATCAACATAACTTAGCACTCTTTGAAGAATAAAATACATATGTGTGAAT